TATATAGAAACATCTGGGAAGAGTCCTCCTCCATAGTACCATGAGATCGGGGTAGTTTCCTGATCCCAGCTCTAACATCAGGAAGTATATATAGAAACATCTGGGAAGAGTCCTCCTCCATAGTACCATGAGATCGGGGTAGTTTCCTGATCCCAGCTCTAACATCAGGAAGTATATATAGAAACATCTGGGAAGAGTCCTCCTCCATAGTACCATGAGATCGGGGTAGTTTCCTGATCCCAGCTCTAACATCAGGAAGTATATATAGAAACATCTGGGAAGAGTCCTCCTCCATAGTACCATGAGATCGGGGTAGTTTCCTGATCCCAGCTCTAACATCAGGAAGTATATATAGAAACATCTGGGAAGAGTCCTCCTCCATAGTACCATGAGATCGGGGTAGTTTCCTGATCCCAGCTCTAACATCAGGAAGTATATATAGAAACATCTGGGAAGAGTCCTCCTCCATAGTACCATGAGATCGGGGTAGTTTCCTGACCCCAGCTCTAACATCAGGAAGTATATATAGAAACATCTGGGAAGAGTCCTCCTCCATAGTACCATAAGATCGGGGTAGTTTCCTGACCCCAGCTCTAACATCAGGAAGTATATATAGAAACATCTGGGAAGAGTCCTCCTCCATAGTACCATGGGATCGGGGTAGTTTCCTGATCCCAGCTCTAACATCAGGAAGTATATATAGAAACATCTGGGAAGAGTCCTCCTCCATAGTACCATGAGATCGGGGTAGTTTCCTGATCCCAGCTCTAACATCAGGAAGTATATATAGAAACATCTGGGAAGAGTCCTCCTCCATAGTACCATGAGATCGGGGTAGTTTCCTGATCCCAGCTCTAACATCAGGAAGTATATATAGAAACATCTGGGAAGAGTCCTCCTCCATAGTACCATGAGATCGGGGTAGTTTCCTGATCCCAGCTCTAACATCAGGAAGTATATATAGAAACATCTGGGAAGAGTCCTCCTCCATAGTACCATGAGATCGGGGTAGTTTCCTGACCCCAGCTCTAACATCAGGAAGTATCTATAGATATATCTGGGTAGAGTCCTCCTCCATAGTACCATGAGATCGGGGTTGTTTCCTGACCCCAGCTCTAATATCAGGAAGTATCTATAGATATATCTGGGTAGAGTCCTCCTCTATAGTACCATGAGATCGGGGTAGTTTCCTGACCCCAGCTCTAACATCAGGAAGTATCTATAGATATATCTGGGTAGAGTCCTCCTCCATAGCACCATGAGATCGGGGTAGTTTCCTGACCCCAGTTCTAACATCAGGAAGTATCTATAGATACATCTGGGTAGAGTGCTCCTCCATAGTACCATGAGATCGGGGTAGTTTCCTGATCCCAGCTCTAACATTTTCTGATATTTATTTGTCTATTCAAACGTCATGAAGTTAGTGGAAAAGCGTTTTGTGCTCGAAAGCCTGCTTATTTTTAGTAAAATATGCGTATTGATAATCTATGTAGGAATAATATATTGTCTGAATAAGATATAATTACTTTAAAAAGGAAAAATATGCCCTTCTCATCATGATAGACGCGAAACCTAGGTAAAATATGCCTTTCTCATCATGATAGACGCGAAACCTAGGTAAAATATGCCTTTCTCATCATGATAGACGCGAAACCTAGGTAAAATATGCCTTTCTCATCATGATAGACGCGAAACCTAGGTAAAATATGCCTTTCTCATCATTATAGACGCGAAAACTAGGTAAAATATGCCTTTCTCATCATGATAGACGCGAAACCTAGGTAAAATATGCTTTTCTCATCATGATAGACGCGAAACCTAGGTAAAATATGCCTTTCTCATCATGATAGACGCGAAACCTAGGTAAAATATGCCTTTCTCATCATGATAGACGCGAAACCTAGGTAAAATATGCCTTTCCCATCATGATAGACGCGAAACCTAGGTACCATCTTTTACCATCTCTGTAATCTAGCACCCTAGTTGTCAAAACTAATGCTGTGACGTTTTCACAGGTCTATTTCTGATTGATCAAAGATATTGCTGAAAAGATTCTGCTGAGTAGTTCCGTTTATTTTTGAAGGGAGATTTGTCTTCTTCTTTTCAGACCAATTTCTTGTTGGTCAAATCGCCATTAATAGAGCGCTTTGAAGATGTTATTCAATAGTATACTTATTAACTTTGTTTCTAAAAGCAAATATCAATTTTTTTTATCGAAAATTCTCTAGTGAAAAGGGAGTTTCCTATTGATATTGTAATTTTAGATGAAAGTATTAAATTGTATGGATGTCTTTCTTTCTCTCTCTCTTCTAATTTTGAAAAAAAAAATGTGAATGTAATTATGGCATTAAATGGAATATATACATATATACACTTGTATATTAGTAAATTAAATTTAATTGCCATCTATCGTTAAAATTTTACACAAATAAATTTACTGGCAATGCGTTTCTTTTAAATATCATCAAATATTATCTCTACAGACCTTACTGCAATGATATAAGTTATTCAATGAGAGGGCTTGGCTCATTGGTTATGAAAACATATTTTGCGGAAGAGCTTTACTCGATGCAATACCTTGAAATTATATGTATGTACCTCTACAGACCTATAAGCTTATGTCCATAGTTCACTAAACACCCCTAAGCTGCCTTCCATAGAAAATACAGGGTATACTCCAAACCAATCCAATACAATAGTAGAGCGGTCTAGAGATTAATTTGGCGGAACCGCTGAGAGGGTTCACTACTGATGAGCCAAGCCCTCTCATTCAATAACTCATATCATTGCAGTAAGGTCTGTAGAGATAATACTTGATGATATTTAAAAGAAACGCATTGCCAGTAAATTTATTTGTGTAAAATTTTAACACTTGTATATCCTTATCATATATCTGAAAGAGAGATTCCATATATTCTAATTGACGTTAATTTGAATATGATACTGTTAGGAGTTAGAGGAAAATTGATAAATGGATAAAACTAAAGTTTATAATAGAAAGATTCTTATTTCCAAAAAGGTCTTAAATTTAGAAATGTACACTATTTTAGCATGCGAAAGTTTCTTCTTTTGAAAATATAGCAAATTTTCTACAATGCCCTTTCTGCGTTGATTGAAAATATAATGGGAGGGCCCCCGCTCAACAATGGTTGAACCATCCAAGAGGTTTAGACAGTTTAATGAAACGTTAATAATCATTTGACTGTAATAAATAGAAATCGAAATACAAATTTGATTCGACAATGGCGACTGAGAATCGCTTATAAAGTTTTATATAGAAGAAGCAAATATGTTTATACATTAAACAAGAAAGAAAAATACATCTCCATATTAACTGAAAATTACCCGATAAGGAGATGCCCTATTTTATTTTTATAATTTATGAACCTTATCCCAGTACAATATCACATTTGTACTATTTTTTCATATATATATCCACATATGTGCTTTATATTTGTATATATCTTTCTTTATGATGTATTAGCGCGCCATCTGTTATGAAAATTCGAAACTATTATAGACGCGTATGATTCTTTTTAAAAATAAACAATTTCTACTGTCCTTACTGCAATGGAAAAATTAATGGCTTATCAGTAGTGAACCCTCCTAGCGGTAAATCTGCCGAAAACTGGCGAAACTGTTGGGAGGGTTCACCACTGATGGTAGATTAAACTGGCGAAACCGCTGGGAGAGTTCACCACTGATGAGCCAGGCCCTCCCATTAATATTTCCATTGCAGTAAGGACAGTAGAAATCGTTTATTTTTAAAAAGAATCATACGCGTCTATAATAGTTTCAAATATATATTTCTTTGTTGTTGAATCTCCCCAGTGTTTTTTCTTCCTTTTCTTACAACTTGCAGGATTCTGTATATAAAAATGAGAGAAGAATACTTACAACTTCTATGTATGCAATATATAATTCTACCTCTCTATTTACATATTTTCCATATAACTTGGTCAATTCGAATTTTCCTCCCTCTTCACTTTTCCACTCAATGCTGTATCTCTCGAGATAACCTGTATATAAGACTAAATATCTATATAAGTTGATTGATTGATATATAAAAAAAACTATTGTTTGATGTAACACACATTTTGTCAACACGTAACATTCTAACCAGTACGAAGTAATTTGTTAAAATATTTACATAAAGAGAGAAGAGGAAGGGGTTTTTTTACACGCCCTTCCAAGCCAGCCAGGTTGACAAAACAAGCGAATTGCCACTAAGGGTATAGTAAGATTTGTCATATTTTCGAAAATATAAAAATCTTCGCGTAAAATAGTATAAGATTAAAACAACAGATGGCATACTAATGTTTAATTTAGGTCTTGTATACTAAATGAAAACGCTATCTTTAATAGAAATAATCCAAATAGTCATCTTTAGTGTCAGAATACGGGTTCGGAATTTGAATTAAAGTAAAATTTTGAAAATAATGTTTTCCTCTTCGATGTCCTTCATGAATTGATGCATCTTTTTCTACTCATTTGACAGGGGAGTATCACCAGGTCTGATTGGATTGTGATTACAAGAAGAAATACACGCAGCATGATAAACGCGACTTGAACAACAACAAAAGATCTCTTAATTCTAAGATGCTTATTGGATAAGAAAGAGAGATAGACATCTGTTAAATACCTTGTTGTTAATTCCTTTGAATAAATACCAGTGTACGTCAAAGTTCTACAGGTTTGAATGATGGAGAATGAGAACGGTGATAATCAGGATTAGATTCTTTAACTGGATGGAAGTTATGAAGAGATAAAGAGAACTCAAGATAGATAAACATAGCGTCACTGGAGACTACGACCTGCTCAATACTAAAGAAACTGAAGAAGAAGAAACATACATGAGAGTGTCATCGATAGAACGAGACAATGACAATTTTATAAATGTAAAGTCGAAATTCTTCAATATGTATATGTAATAAGATCCTGTCGACTTTCAATGTGGCAATATAATATAATAATAAGGTGGGGAAAGAGAGAAATAATCACACCACAATTTGGAAGATGAACCCAGACAACCAGAGATTAAGAGTCTCATGCTCTACCGACTGAGCTAGCCGGGCCCGGCAACCGGCCGGGCGGCCGTTTGTGTCGAATACAATATCCTCCAACTGTCTTAATTAGTCCTGAGGTTCCAAGTAAAGGGGCCCCAGATGACCGGACTTTTGCTGCCTCTCTCTGGGTTGACTGTAGGTTTGCTTTATTATTCCAGGAAGGGTATATATTATGACATATATACAATATACACTCCTTTCGAATTGCACCAAATGTCAGGATACTTCAGCGAGCCCAGAACACTTCACATCGGGCATTGCCGAACAGACATCTACACCGACCTAGCTGTGGTCATTGAGGCGATAAAAATACCTTCAGGATCTGGGGTCTAGACTTGGGACAAGAAAAAAACAACAATATACACTTGTATATTATGATGCATTAGCGCGCCATCTGTTATATAAATGTGAAACTATTATAGACGCGTATGTTTCTTTTAAAAATTAAAAAGGACAGTAGAAATTGTTTAATTTTTGAAAGAATCATACGCATCTATAATAGTTTCGAATTTTCATAACACTTGTATATGTTTAATAAAAGGTATTCTCGTAAAGATAGAGGCTGCCTGGCCGGCATTCATATTTATATAAAAAACAGACACTTTTTTTATTTACTTCTCCTGACGAAGACAAACGATTTTTGTCGAAACGTTGAGAAAATAAAAAACTCCAACTGGCCGAAGTGTCTATTTTTTATATAAAAAAATATTCTATTTTAAATTATATTTTCTATATATAGAACAAACAAACTCTGTGAATTCGACCGCCAAATAGCGCAGTTTTACATTATATAATTTTGTTGTTGTTTTCTTTTGGCCGGCACCAACTTTTGTAAATATGTAAATACGAAATCAAGTTTTTTTATTTTCTTCTTCACATCTCAAGTCAGGTATATCTTCCTTAAATATTATTTTATCAGCTCAATTGAATCAATTAGTTATTTAAAGTTGTTTTATTTTTTTTCCAAGATGAAACGACTGCATATTGGCATAATACTCTTATATTCAAAATCAGCAACTAATTATCCATATCTATATAAACTATATATCATATATATATAAATATATATAAATATATGTGTACTTGAAATATTGATGTAAAGATCAAGTTAAATAAATTTAAAATATTTGCAGAGTTTCTTTATTAAGATATCCTTTATTATTATACTTTTATTATAATTATTATTTATTATTATATATTATTTATTATATATTAAGGATACCTTAAAGGTCCTACCTAAAAGGTCAGGTGTTTGTTATTAAAATCAAAAAAGCATATCCTGACCACGTTCACATAAACCTTTTGAGCGCCATCTAGTGGAACAGAAATCAACTAAACGTTAATTTAACCTGTTCCCTGATATTTGGCTAACCCATTTTCTTGATAAATCAAGAAATAGTTAAAAACATATAGACAGGCGCAAAGCCTCTATTTATCATGTCTATCCTGGATTGTATTTAGTATATGTAACAACAACCTTTGTGTGGTGTTATTTCATCCTACATATTGTAATTTTTCCAGGTTATTTACATTCAACAGTAGGCTTCAACTGTCTATCCTGGGAGATCACAGTATGTTGAGAAGTCTTTGCATAGTTTTGAGAATCTGACAAACACTAGGAAAGTAATTTCTTATTGATTATTTAATGCGGAATAAATAAAAAGCGATATTATCGATGTGGTCTCACAGATATCTTTCACAAATGGTGAAATCAATGGATTTAAGAGCGTTTTCTTTGACTTTATTAATTTTCTAGTTGATCTTAACATCTTCTATGAGCTGTCGAACAGGGGCCATGTTATTTCGTTTTTATTGTAACAGTTGTACCGTTGACAAGTATCGCAGGGGCCATCTTAATCTTCTTTGTATCATTCTTATTGTAGTAGTTGTGCCGCCGAACAAGTATCACAGGGGCAATGCTAATCTTCTCTGTATCCTTCCTAGTGTAGTAGTTGTACCACCGAACAAGTATCACAGGGGCCATGCTAATCTTCTCTGTATCCTTCCTATTGTAGTAGTTGTACCACCGAACAATTATCACAGGGGCCATGCTAATCTTCTCTGTATCCTTCCTATTGTAGTAGTTGTACCGTCGAACAAGTATCACAGGGGCAATGCTAATCTTCTCTGTATCCTTCCTATTGTAGTAGTTATACCGCCGAACAAGTATCACAGGGGCCATGCTAATCTTCTCTGTATCCTTCCTATTGTAGTAGTTATACCGCCGAACAAGTATCACAGAGGCAATGCTAATCTTCTCTGTATCCTTCCTATTGTAGTAGTTGAACCGTCGAACAAGTATCACAGGGGCCATGCTAATCTTCTCTGTATCCTTCCTATTGTAGTAGTTGTACCGCTGAACAAGTATCACAGGGGCCATGCTAATCTTCTTTGTATCCTTCCTATTGTAGTAGTTGTACCATCGAACAAGTATCGCAGGGGCCATGCTAATCTTCTTTGTATCCTTCCTATTGTAGTAGTTGTACCACCGAACAAGTATCACAGGGGCCATGCTAATCTTCTCTGTATCCTTCCTATTGTAGTAGTTGTACCACCGAACAAGTATCACAGGGGCCATGCTAATCTTCTCTGTATCCTTCCTATTGTAGTAGTTGTACCACCGAACAATTATCACAGGGGCCATGCTAATCTTCTCTGTATCCTTCCTATTGTAGTAGTTGTACCGTCGAACAAGTATCACAGGGGCAATGCTAATCTTCTCTGTATCCTTCCTATTGTAGTAGTTGTACCACCGAACAAGTATCACAGGGACCATGCTAATCTTCTCTGTATCCTTCCTATTGTAGTAGTTGTACCGTCGAACAAGTATCACAGGGGCAATGCTAATCTTCTCTGTATCCTTCCTATTGTAGTAGTTATACCACCGAACAAGTATCACAGGGGCCATGCTAATCTTCTCTGTATCCTTCCTATTGTAGTAGTTGTACCGTCGAACAAGTATCACAGGGGCCATGCTAATGTTCTTTGCATCCTTCCTATTGTAAAAGATGTATCTCTGAACAAGTATCGCAGGGGCCATGCTAATCTTTTAGGTATCCTTCCTATTGTTGTAATTAAATCAACAAACAGTGTTATCTAAAACCATGCTAATATTCTCTGTATTTTTGTCCTCATAGTAGTTATATCTACGTTCTCAAGTAGTGTAAATATCAAATTATTTCCTTCTGTTTTCACTTTTCCAATGTAATAACTACACCACCAAACTTCCAAGAGCCATTCTAACCTTCCAATTCTAACTATCACCTTCCAGCGTGTATTTAGCTGAGAAGGCTCTCGGGGGATTGGTGGGGAAATCTCTGGACGAAGAAAGAATTAATTTGATTAAAGTTCGGACCCAATCGCGAAGGATCAAGTCCCTGTCATCTTCAAGCGAGGAAGGTAATCCAGGATGATGGTTTCCCCTGGGGTAATTGATTGTCATGAAATGATTGACTCTCTGCTTCCATTTCTTCTACAGGATTTGAGTTTTGTTGTAGCCGGTGATTAATAGGTGCTCTTTACTGGCGGGTACACCAGAGAGTACATTTTTAGAACAGTAAATTGTCGATTTTTTATTGACACTGTATTTATTAAATTTGATACTTCTATTTTTACGTAGATGATTCTGATTTATATTATTGTATCTCAATCAGTGGTTTTGCAAAATTGTTTAGAAATGATTCTATAAAATATATTATTTGAATTTAGGCGATATGTTTATCTATTACAACTCTGTTGTGGAAAATAATTCTCTGCGAGTTTTCAAGGGAAAAAAAGAGGTGAGCGTTGAAAAGAGTGAGGCTTCTTTAGAAAAATATATTGAGCAGAAATACACTTCAACAGGAGAACCTGTGAGCTCTGCAAAGTCCTCTCTGGAAAGAGATAAACTGCGGAAGAAAGAGAACCTTGATGCTCTAACCCCGTCATCTCGAGATGGAGATAAACCGTAGAAGGAGAACCTTAGTGCTCTGTCACGTTTTCTGAGGAAGAAGATAAACGGCGGGAGAAATAAACCACAATTCTCTACCCTAATATCTCTGGAAGAAGATACACCACGGAAGAAAGAGAACCTGTGAATGCTCTAACCCGTCTCCTCTGGAATAAGATGAACCGCGGAAGAAAGGAACTTGTGAATGCTCTAACCCGTTTTCTCTGGAAGAAGATGAACCACGAAAAAAGGAGAACCTTGGTGCTCTACCCCGTCTTCTCTGGAATAAGATAAACCACGGAAGAAACAGAACTTGTGAGTGCTCTACTCCGTCTTCTCTGGAAGAAGATAAACCACGGAAGAAAAATAACTTGTGAGTGCTCTACTCCGTCTTCTCTGGAAGAAGATAAACCGCGGAAGAAAGGCAACCTGTGAGTGCTCTACCCTGCCATCTCGGGAAGGATATTAACCACGAAAGAAAGGGAACCTGAATGCTCTACCCCGTCTTATCTGTGAGGATATTAACCACGGAAGAAAAAGAGCCTGTGTCGTTACATTTCGGGCGGAGATAAACGGGGGTGTGAAAGGTCAGTTAGCAGTTAGACGCCTGCGGGAAGGTCGTGGAATATGTTAAGAAGTGCCCTGAGATGGATCTTCAACGTTTCTTATCCATCTTGGCCATCTCCTTTAAATGCAGCTCTTCAAATTAGAGCCGCACGCATCTCCACTTAAGCCATCCATAGAGTCAGCCCTTAGATGGCTCGCTACTTGTTCCGGGAAGTAACCTTGGGATAAAAGTTTTCAACATTTTACCTCGGCCCATGGTTTCTCTCTTCACCATACTTAAATTTGAATATTGTTCTAAATAAACACATGGTACAAACCATGGTATTCCTGGCTAGAAGCGAATTGAAATGATAAAATTAATGTACCATTGCTGTAAATGATCACCGTTTTAAACCATACCCTAATGAATAGCAATATAATAAAACGACATTTGAAAACTATCCCGCATGTGTTTCTTTTCAACGAAAATCCAAAATTTATTTTAAGGAGAAATAACGATTATTCCTAACCTTTA